TGAGAAGCTTCTGATGCCCCATCTGAGGCCTTGGCTCCTGACCCTTCACTGCTGCCCTTGCTGCAGCTCAGTTGCCCTCCAGGTGTGAAGAGTTGGTTGTTAGAATCAGTGGAGCCAGGCTTTGTGATCTTGGTGATTTGTGAGGTGTTAGCAGGGCTGTTGCCCTTGTTGATAAGGACTGTGTTCCAGCCACCATCGTCCACAAATGGAAGACCACTTGGACTCTTGTCATTGCCCTTAGCCATGAGCTGCAGCACTATTCATCTTGACCTCCTTGTGAATCTGGTCAGTGGTCTTGGGACCCTGGTCCCCTTGGTGCGGCACCCAATTGCTCCATCACAGATCCAGTACATCCTGTAGCATAAAGCTAATGCGGGGTGATGCCTTCTTTTCCTTAATGAGTTTTTCCATTGGGCTGAAATACTGATCCATTCGAGGCTTGGCTTTCTTATAGTTCAGGCATTTTCCAATGTTGGGGAGCAGGTGGCCAAGACATTCAAGGAACTCTTTGTCATGGTTCTTAGTAGTTTGACCATGCAGTCATGCATTATTGCCTCTGTTAACATCTTCAGCTTCAACAACTCCCCAGTAAACTTGATATTCCCAAGATAGTGCTACCAGGCTCTGTCTCGAGCCTCTTCCAGCTCTTCCTTCAGACGCCCCTGTTCCTCTGCCATAGCTGTTTCCTCCATTTCCTTTTGCTTCTTCTAAAAAATGTCATCATCAATCATCTTTGTCTTTCTCAAGCTCCTTCTGACACTGATGCAACAACAACAGGTTTTGGAAATTCACAGTCACTATTGGCTTTTTTTTTTAACATGGGAGAACATCGGTTTTTACACTCATGGTTTCATTTCAATGATTACAGTCTCCTCCGTGCATCTTCATTCAACTCACTGTTGGCTTTTCTGTAGTGGGCACTTTCAGCTCCATGAGACAGTGGTACATGTTAGCATAGGCCACAAAGAAGCTGGGTTCTGAAATGGCCATCTTGAACTTATTTTCATTTCCTTCAGCTTCAGTCTGAACTTGCGTATGAGCAGTTGATGGTCTCTTCCACAGTCTGCCTCTGGCATTGTTTTGGCTGATGATATATTAGAGCTTTTCTACCGTTTCTTACCACAGATGTAGTCAGTTTGATTTCTGTGTATTCCATCTGGTGAAGTCTATGCATATAATCATAGAAAAGATATTTGCAGTGAAGAAGTCATTGGTCTTGCAAACTCTATCTTGTGATAAACAGTATCATTTGTACCACGTAGGCTGTATTTTCCAACTACTGATCAGTAGAAGGATGTTTACCTGTACTTTATTGATGACGCAAAGGCTTTAGAATGTGTGGCTCATAACACATTATGGACCTCATTGTTGAGACTGAGTGTTCCAGAACCCTTGAGTGTGTTCAGAGGAACCTGTCAAGAGGCAATTCCAACAGAACAAAGTGATACTGAGTGGTTTAAAATTAGAAAAAGTGTGCCCCAGGGTTGTATTCTTTCACTATCTGTACACTGTACACTGAGAAACTGGATTATATGAAGAAGAACTTGGCATCATGATTGAAGGAAGACTAATAATCTGCCATTTGCAGTTATACAACCTTGCTTGCTGAAAGCAAAGAGGAAGTAAAATACTTATTGATGAAAATCAAAGATGACAGCTTTTAGTATTGGTCACACCTCAATGTAAAGGAAACAGAAATCCTCACCACTGGACCAATAAATAACATCTTGATAAATGGGGAAAAGATTGCACTTTTCAAAGATTTCATTTTGTTTGGATCCACTATCAACACTCCTAAAAATAGCAGTAAAGAAACCATAGGATGTATTACCCTTGGGCATATCTGCATTTAGACTGTCTCCATCTTTTTGCTATTGTGAATAGTGCTGCTGTGAACATCGGTGTGCATGTATCTACTCGTGTCGTAGCTCATAGTTCTGGTGGGTACACACCCAGTAGAGGGATTGCTGGGTCAGAATACTCCTAACAAGGCATTTCTGTTTCCAGCTTTCTGAGGAAGTGCCATATTGTTTTGCAGAGTAGTTGAACCATTTTAGTCACCAGCAATGTAGGAGGTTTCCAGTCTCTCCACATACTCACCAGCATTTGTTGTTTTCTTTAAAAAAAAAAAAAATTTAACTTTGCTGTTAATGTTGTTATTTTGAGTACTCAAGAGAAAAGATGCCATTCAGAGAACTAAGGTGTGTGCCTGACCCAAGCCATGGTATTTTTTTAAACTTGTTTTTGTGAATTGTGTAAAGGTTTACAGACAGAATCATCAGTTTTCCATTCACCACATCACACACTTTGTTCCATCTCAATGATTACAATCAACCTCCATGCAAAAACAGCTATCCTACTTCCTCCTTGTTTCCTCCTTGTGGTTCCACCCACCTTCCTATCCCTTCTCAACTTTGTCCTTAGGAAAATGTTGCCATTTTGACTGATGGACCATTTCATGGTAAGCATATCTTGCTAGTGTTGTTGCTCCCCTCCCCTCCCCACTTATATGCCTATCTACAGATCTTTTCTTTCTTCCTTGTCTTCTTAATGAAGTGGAACGTCAGTGAAAAAGAGGAAGACCTCCAACAAGATGGATAGGCACAGTGGCTGCAGTTCTGCTGTGCATAATGTCACTTTGAGTCTGAGGGTCTAGATCAAAGAGTAAAATCAAGTAAAAACTAGCCAAGGTCATACAAAAATTGTATCTGAGCCTCTAAATTGTTAAAACTTTTTGGATTAAGGTGCTCTTTCCCTCTAAAACTTCCTACAAGAAAACAAATTTTATTAAAAATTCCCAGTTCTTTATACCCAATGTCTAGCATTCCATTATAAAATTTCAGGCATAGCAAGGTGCAAACCAAAAAACTAATAGTAATACAGTTAATGAAATGATCAGACATGAATGTTACAAATAATATGATTAATATGGTTAAAGAATTGTATGATTAGCTGAACTCGAAAATATAAAAATAATTAAATGGATAATCTAGAACTGATAAAAAGAATTAAATTGACAATCTAGAACTGATAAGTATAAGAAATCAAATTAAGAATATAATAGATGTCTTTAACAGCAGGTTAAACGCATTGAAGAGAAGACTCCTAGTGATCTGGACATCAAGGTAGAAAGTATTCAGTGTATCTTAGAGAGACAAAAGGATGGAAAAGTCATAGTACAAATGTTTGAGTTAAGTTTCAGGCCGGCTCTGCCATGTGTCTTGCCTCTCATATTGATTCATTTCCTCATTGTATGCCCCACATTTATAGTCTTCAGCTCCCTTATGATTACTATTGGCCTATTGGTTACTCAGATCCCAGAGTCTCGTGTCGAGGATTGTCCAGTATGGTAGCCCTTAACTACATGCAGCTATTTACATTTAAATTTATTAAAATTAAATAAAATTTCAGTTCCTTAGTTATTTTACTAGCCCTATCAAATGTGACTGGTATAAGTCTTTCCATCATCACAGAAAGTTCTACTGGATAGTGATCTCATTCCTTGATATTTTTACTTTGTATTTCAGGTTTTTGTTTATTTGTTTGTTTAATTCAAACACCTAGGACATATTTATTTTATTTTACTTTTTATTTATTTATTTATTTTAATGTTTTATTGTGAATTATATGATAGTTTACATGGGAGAACTTTAGTTTTATATTCATTCCATCGTATATCATCTCACTGCCATGCTTCCAATCCCCTCCATGCATCATCAACCACCCAAAGGGTATATCCCAGAAACCCGCCCCCTCCACTTCCCCCTCCTCCCCCCAGTTTTCGGCCCACAGTCCCTTTCCCTCTCTGGGTCCAAAGTCCTCAGTCGCTTCATCACTCCACGTCATCATCTCTGTCTCCATCTCAGGCATCTCTGTTTCTCTGGGTAGGGTCCCGCTCTCGGCTCTTCTCCGTTGATGGTCCCAGAGGCCTCCGCTCCTATCCTGGAGAATTAATCACTCCCTTCCTTGTTACAAAACTTCTACCTTTGTATTTCCAACCCTTATAGTCCGTCCTGATAAGCATTCACTACAGTATGAACCCACTCCCATCTGTATTTCCTTTCATTAGCTCCGCCCAGACAGATTGAAATAGTACCTACTGGAGATTCTGCCTTCCTCCATGCTTCCTAGCACCAGGTTCCCTCTTGAAAGCTTGTAAGCCAGTCACTTCTTGCCTTTGTAGTCCTCACCTCCCCATTTGAGTATCCAATGTCCAAGCTGCCCTTCTCCGTCCACTCTGTGTGTGTGGGGGTGTGTGTGTGAACATATTTATTTATGTTTCTTGCTGGACATATTTATTTTAAAATAAAAGTATCCATCAAGCCATAAGGCTAAATCTTCAGGTTAAATTTTATGTATTTTTTTTAAAAACTATGATAATGGTTCCACTCTGCACAGAAAACATTCCATGCTTCCAGACTTCTTAGTGTTATGCTTGAGGGTTGCTCAATTCCTGTCTTACTGACTCTTGAGAGCAGGCAGTGATCAACCACAGACTGAAAGAAAACAAAGTATTATCCAGATTAGATGCTCATTGCTATGCGTGATCATCTTGCGTGGAGAATTGTTCCAGTTTGCGTCATGGTGACCGTAGGCTCCTCTATCTAGGAATACTGGGGTCCATGAACTATACTGTAGAAATACTCCCATGAAAGAGGTAAAATAAACAGCTCTGGTTCCTGGAATTCCTACGAAGAAATCTTTGACAAGGATTGGAAGAATTGGGGCTTTTTTTAGAAATTGGCTGAATCCTGGCATTGCTCTTTATTAATTTTTAAACATAGACAACTAACTTCTCCTCTTCTCTCCTCGGGTTTCTCATTTGCTATGTGAAAATCATCTGGTAGGAGAGTTGTGACAAGTAAATGTGGTTTTGAAAATGTGAAAATTATTTTATCAATTTAAGAGTCCCCTCTATAGTGTGGCATTTTGACTTACAGTGTAGACCAGTTTGTGAGCTGTTCTGTTTCATGCTCTGCTGTTTCTTTTTAATCTTACAGTGATTACCGTAAAATCTTCTGAAGATTCGTCTTTTGGGAAAAACAAAGAGGCCTGGGCTATTTTTCAAGGTAAAGCTTGTTTGTTTTTTTTCATTTTTTTACTACAAGACACACCTTCCCTTTTACATACAAGGAAAAGAATGGAATAAGAAGAAAGTATCTTAATGTCTTAATTTTGCAATAGCACCACAGTTTTCTTGGCTTAAATTTAGGAGGAAAATGGGAATTTATGTTGGTATAAGTCCGTAGACTTAAGTATGGAGGTTGAAGCATCAATTTGCATTTTTTTTTTTCCTCCAGAATTCCTACTCCTAGTTGACATTATTGTTAACTACTAAGTGAAAGGTTGGAGGTTTGAATCTACCCAGAGGTACCTTGACAGAAAGATCTGGTGATCTGCCATTGAAAAATCAGCCATTGAACACAATTCTACTCTGTTACACAAGGGTTTTGATCGATTCAACAGCAACTGACTGTTTCAAGTGATATAAAAATGAAAAATACTATGTTACTACATTTTCTTTGAGGTTTTTTTTTTTTTAAAGGAGCTTGGGGTTTTAACAATACTTTGAAATCCTTAAGTAAGTGATTCTCACCCATGGATGCAGGTCAGAATCACCTGAGGAGATTTAAAATGAGCACACATGCCTGGATTCCCCCCTTGAGAAATTCTGATTTTGGTGGTATGTGTTCAGAGAGCAATGACTCTCATAGTGGGGGCCCAGACCAGCATTATCAATATCACTTGAGATCTCATTATCAAGTATGCATTGCTGGATTGGATTCCATCTTACGTAATCAGAAACACTGAGGTTAGTGCCTAATAATGTATGTTTTAACAAGACCTATGGCGCTGTGGTAGCATAGTGGTTATGAATCGGGCTGCAAACCTCAAGGCCGGCAGTTCGAAACTACCAGCGGTTCCGCAGGAAAAAGATGAGGCAGTTTGCTCCTGTAAAGATTTACAGCCTCGGAAACCCTGTACAGTGAGTGTCTCTATGGGTCAGAATCGACTCAACAACACTTAACAACAACAACAGCATGGTGCTGTAGGTTAATGTGTCAGACTGTAAAGTGGTTTGAACTGCAAGGTCGGAGGTTCAAGCTTACTAGCTGCCCCTTGGAAACCCTATACAGGGTCGCTATGGGTCACAATTGACTCGACGACACTTTAACAACAACAACAACAACATGTGATTCTGGTGCATACTTCTTAGGTTTGTGATTTAGAGAGCTGTTTCTCAACCAGGGACAATTTTGTACAAACACACACCTAAGGGACATAGACTAATATCTAGATTCTGATGGTGCCTCTGGCATCTAGTAGGTCTTAGAGGACAAGGATGCTGCTGAACATCTTACAAAATACAGAATGGTCTCTGTAACAGAGACTTAACCTGGTCCAAAATACCAAGAGTGTCTAAATTAAGAAATCCCATCTTACTATAAAGAAAGTTGATCACAAAGCATTTCAGAGTTACAGCCATAAAAAATGAAAGAATTGTGAGTTCTCAACAGTATCAGTAACAGTAAAGACTGATTAATGTTAAAAGTTAAGCAGGAACTTGTAAAGGATTATGTTTTGTAAAGGCATGTAATTTACAGGTGATTAATGGACCCCTCCTGGTGTGGTGCTGTGGGTTAATGCGCCAGATTGCAAAGCTGTTTGAGCTGCAGGGTCAGTGGTTCAAGCTCACCAGCTGCTCCTTGGGAACCCTAGACAGGGTCCCTATGGATTGGAACCGACTCAATGGCACTTCACAACAACAACAACAACAACATTGGACTCCTGGTAGTGTAGTGGTTATGTATGAATTGGGCTGGGAACCACAAGTTCAGCAGTTGAAAAGTACCAGCTGTTTTGCTGGAGAAAGATGAGGCTTTCTGCTCCCATAAAGATTTACAGCCTGGGAAACCCTGTACAGGGTTGCTATGAGTCGGAACCGACTCCACGGCACATAACCACCACCAATGGACTCCTGGAGTTCTGGTGTGGCGTTATGGGTTTATGTGCTTGCCTGCAAAGTAGGTTTGAATCACAAGGTCGGTGGTACAAGCTCAGCAGCTCCTCAGAAACTTATACAGGGTCGTTATGGGTCAGAACCGATTCAACGGCACTTCACAATAACAATGAACTCCTTGGGGTGATGTTGTAGTGTTAACACTGGACTTAGAACCACAAGGTCAGCAGTTCAAACCCACCAGCTGTTCCTCTGAAACTGTATACAGGGTTGCTATAAGTCAGAACCAACTCTGCAGCTAAAGGATTTCAGGAGCGGGTGTTCAGTGTTGTTGTTGTTGTTAAGTGCTGTTGAGTCGGTTCTGATCCACAGCGACCCTGAACAGGTTTTCCGAGGCTGTAAATCTTTATGGGAGCAGAAAACCTCTTTCTCCCACTGAGCATCTGGTAGTTTCGAACTGCTGACCTTGCGGTTTGCAGCCCAGTTCATAACCACTACGTTACCAGAGCTCCTTGGGTGTTCCTTGGGACCTTTTTTATTACCACCTCCTTTGGTAACCCAACAAGGTATGACGGAAAGAAAGCTTTTGAGTTGAATTGCTCAGAGGGAGAACATGTTGGTTTAACTCAACTCAGACACTTTTAATAATTAGTTATCACCAATGATAGAAACATGTAACTATAACTGTGAACGTAGTTTGCAAATCACAAGATGCCACACACATGCTGGTTGCTGTGTGTGCTGTGGAGTCAGTTACAACTCATAGCAACCCAAAATAGGGTTTCCAAGGCTGTAAATCTTTATGGCAGCAAACCCCCTCATCTTTCTCCTGTGAAGCGCCTGGTAGATTTCAACTGCAGCCCTTGTGGTTTGTAGCCCAGCTTGTAACCCACTAAGCTCCCAGGCCATGCTCATAGGTTGTTCCAGTTTACTGTATAGTTTTGTAGTTTTTAAGTGTTGTCTTTTTCAGATTGTGCTGAATTCCAACAAAGACCCTCTGCATTCTTCATGAGCTCTAATACTCTTTCTTAATTTGATGACCTTCTCCTAAGGAGTAATTTTTAGTTCTCTCCCTAGCTGCTCTTTCAGAGAATGCCTGTTCTTGGGCAGAGATGAAAGGACTTTAATCCTTGAATTACGAAGCAGCAGAAGCAGGCCTGCTCTTATTTGCTACTTAATAAAATTGTGGTGACTCAGTTGACTTCCCCTCACATTTCTGGAGCCTGTACCATGATCTAGGCACTGCGCTGAAGTGTGGGGTTGGAGACCGTCCTGGAACACTCCCAAGGCTCTCGGTGGGATTCCTGTTTATTTTCACATGCATAAGAATCTCTTGGAGAATGTGTTCACAACTTTGACTCTGGGTGCTACCCTGAGATTCTGATGAATTACTTTTAGGAATGGATCAAGGCAATTGCATTTTATTAGAACATGATATAGTTATGAAGCAAGTGATCTGAGGGTCGTATTTTGAGAAATACCATGGTAGAAGAACAAGACTTTATATATTTGGAAGGATTACAAGATTTACTCCTGACTACTTTGCAGTATAATTAACATCTCTAACAAATTGGGCTGCTAACCTGAAGGTCGGCAGTTCAAAACTACCAGCGGTTCTGCAGGAGAAAGATGAGGCATTCTGCTGCCATAAAGATTTACAGCCTCGGAAACCCTGTACAGGGTCTCTATGAGTCGGAACCGACTCCACGGTACTTAACAACAACAACAATGTTGCCCTGGTGAGCTAATGCGTCAGACTGCAAAGTCATTTGAACTGCAAGGTTGGTGGTTCAAGTTCACCAGCTGCTCCTTGGAAATCCTATACAGGGTTGCTATGGGTCGGAATCGACTCCACAGCACTTAACAACAACAACAAAACGTGGCGCTGTAGGACTGCAGGGTTGGTTTGAACTGCAAAGTCAGCGGTCCAAACCTACCAGTCACTCCTCGGAAACTCTATACAAGGTTGCTATGAGTTAGAATTGACTCGAGGGTACTTAATAACAACAACAATAAAGCATTTTGTAAAATTATCAGCATGTTATAACTCCTGTGTAGCTTGAGAAGATCAAGGTTACTCCTGAGCCAGCTCTTTGAAACCCATAGCTAATCTACACTCTTGTCAACAGAGGGAATTTCTTCTTTTCAGAAAAGCAGAACTGGATGCTCCCAGTTTAATGTGTCTGAGCAGCTGCATCCAAAGTGTTCTTTTCTTGCGATTCTGGCAGCTGCAACAGGAGCATCTGTATTCTCTGCCTTTTGAACCCAGCCATAGCTTTTGACGAGGTCAGTGGCAACATTGAAATACTTTGGCACAGGATTCCAGACCTTTGCCCTTTTGTTCCTGGATGGGAGAGCCATAATAGGTTTGCGGAGGGATATCAATCCTCCTGGGATTGAGCTCTGCCTGACTCTGTGTCAGCTGCACAAAACCGGCATTGTCAGGCCTCTTAGCAAGAGATTAGAGTGAGTTAAAGTCCCTCAGGGCTAGTGTTCAGAGAATTTCCCCCTAGCAAGATGGTATTAGGAGCTGGACTAAAGAGGATGGTCATGCGCATTACACTTCTATTGCCTGAAGCTGCCATCTCTAGGCATTTGTTTTTTGGGAATGTTGGGCTGGGGATGGAGGTGGACTTCCCTGCCTTGATTGTGCTGAGGAATGTGGGAGCCCCCATGTTTGAAAGTGGCACTGAATGCCCTGCTGCCCGGCAACAGGTGCCATGTGTCTTTTGTTCAGGTGACTCTGGATTCTGCCTTGCACTGCTGCAGTTCAGCTTTTGGGGAGGCTGGGAGCTGGCATGCTGACTCTTTGTGTTTCCTGCCTCAGCCTCCCTGCATCCACTTCTGTGTGCTGCCCTACCATCTGCTGCAGGGAGACCTGGGCTGAGGGTGTGGGGAGATGATTTCTACATGGAAGTTTGCATTTGCATCTAAAAATGACAACTGTGTCTTTTGAAGTAGAATGGCAAAAAACAAAACTGCCAGTAAATTAATTCAGTGACTGTAACCAGTTTACTTCAGGAATACAGGTAGACTTGGTATTGTAGAAACCTGGTCTAGATTTGGGTCAGTGCAGACGCTTTGTTAAAAATGTGTCCTGGAAGGTTT